TTTATAATAAATATAATTTCTTAAACATATAAATTATATTTTAGATTTAAAATAAATGATTTATATTCTGACACGAGATTATTTTTAATCATTGATAATTTATTTTAAAAATATTAAAATTTTATTCAAAAATAATATGTGATAAATAAAAAATTAAATTAAATAAGAAGTTGAAAGAATCTTTAAAAGCCTTTTTATCGAATAATAGTTCTTAAAAAAAATTGTGTAAAATGATTATTTGTGTTTAATATATAGAAGTTGATTTGTGATAAGAAAGCGCGCACATGCCCAATCTGGTTATGAGATTCTATAATAAATGTCCTTAGTAATTTTTTTTATATAAATAGTAGAGGCTCGAGATTGAGAAAGACACATCAAATTATATTATTTTCATATTTTCCTTCTTTCTCTTTTTTGATTACTGTCATGGCTAGAAAGAAGGTAGACCTTACATACATAACCAATGACTCGAAGAGAAAAACAACGTTGAGGAAAAGGAAAAATGGTTCGAGAATAGTTCCTCCTTAATTCATTTCAATTATATGTAGTGCTAGCTTTGTACCATATGTGCATTTTCCATTTAATAAAATTTCAATATCTATTTGATTCTCATTTTTTTCTCATTTTTCTTTATGGATTTTGCTATGTTTCCTAACAGGTTTGATCAAGAAGATTGGTGAAATCAGTATCCTTTGTGAGGTTGAGGCATGCGCTATAATTTATACTCCAGATGATCCTCAGCCAGAGGTTTGTCCATCTAACATGGGAGTCCAAAATGTGCTTTCTAGGTTTAGGCGAGTGTCTGAATTTGAACAAAACAAAAAAATGTTGAGTCAAGAGAGCTTTTTGAGTCAAAGGATCATTAAAGCCCAAGCCCAAATGAAGAAACTAAGTAATGCAACTAGGAAGAAAGAAATAACCCTTCTCATGCTTCAATACCTCAATGCTGGGAACATTTTTGACAATGCCAACATGATTGATCTAAATGATATCTCACGCTTGATTGATAAAAACTTGGGGGAAATAGAAAGGAAAAAAAATCTTAGTCGAGTCCAAGAGATGACCCCAAATGTTGAAAATGGAAGAATAACCATGACTCAAGAAAATCAAGCAATTATGAATAATGTTCAAGGGTTGAAGACCAATGTGGATGCCATGCAAAAACAAAATTAATTTATGGCCAAAATTTGTCTGAGATTTTAATGTTCCAAATTGTTGGCTTAGCCTATATGTCCCTTGAAAAAAAATGTTTTTCTTAGAAAGGTTTCAAGAGTCTCTCTTATTTGAAATTTTCATGACATGGTTCCCATAGATTTTGTGTTTTAATGTGTTTATGCTTAGGCACAATAATACCAAAGAAATGAATATTTGTCGTTATATTTTAAGGATTCGTTTGTCTATCAAATAAACAAAATCTCATTAGTATAAATAACAATAATTTGCAAGAATTTTCATACATGTCTACATGTATAGAAACAAGTCTTTGATATATTCGATTAGTTATCCAATAAAGATAGTTATCCCTATGTAATAAGGTTTAAAATAGTTTTTATTCTAGACAATTTCAATTATAATAGTTATGTTATGTGTATGTTGCATGAATTGTATTAAATTTCAATTGCATTATGGAACCACAAATGAGTCAATAGCTCATAAGAGTGCACATCGAGCGAGTTTGAGCTTGAAAAATCTAATCCACCATGAATGGATTTACAAATAAGTACAACCTACTTTCAACCATTTGTGCTTTTAGGTTGATATGGCTTTGGATTTGAATGCAGGGTATTTTAGGTTTTATCATTTTCACAATTAACATGTATAAAGATGACAAAATAGTGAAGGTAGATATGAAGCATTCTCAAAACAAATCTATCACGTATTTAGAGACAATAAAAATTACAAGGAACCTACTTTTTAATAACTTGGATTCAAAAGATGTAGACAAAGCCCACAACTTGTTGTAATAGAAATGAAGTTGAGAAAGACAAAAGAAGAGAAATAGAAAAATGGAGTCAGGGAGAAAATAAGTATAAAGGGAAAAAAGCCATAAAAATGAGCTTTTGTGTTAATGAGAGGCTAATAGGATATAATTGAGAAAAAAAGGCAGCAACAACACCACGTAAATTAAAAAAGAGGCAACACCATAGTGGCGGCTAGGTTTTTACAAAAAAACAAAAGATTAGGTTACAAACTGATAGAGTAGTATAGTTAAAATTAAGCATGGGCTTGGATGGTTGGGCCTACAATAGTTTAAGGTAGTAACATAACTGATTAAAACATGACCACTATGATCAAGTTTGGTTTTCTACGAATTTAAAATCTAAAACTAAACTCACCCATTATAACTCATATTAAACCAAATTTTTAACCCATTTTCCTACAAAACCCACTTGAATCAACCCAAAAGCAATATTTTTTTAATAAGTTCTCAATTTTGGGTCGTGCCTTAATTTCATGCCCAACCCTACTAGCTTATAATATGGACATTGTTTTCGAAAATTTTGAGATTGTATCAATATGAATCTTATGATCTTTGGAACATTGTGCACATCTATGTGGTTGCACCCATTATAGGACTCATCTCACTTAATTAAGAGTCATAGATAAAAACACTTTTAAAAAAATGGTCTCTTTCTATTAGTCAAGTGTGCATCATTTGATCAATATATTAAATATGCTAATATATTTACTAAATTAAGTGTCAAAGTGTCTTTATATATATTTTCATTGTTGTCATTCTACAAATTGAAAGAAACCTATTGCCACAAAAAAAAAGTTTATTTACAACTCAATAATATTTGAATTTCAAAATAATAAACTTATAAAGAGTTTATAATTCAAAATAGTTATACACACAATGCATATTTGCATTGTACTAAAAAAAAATTCTTATAGTATTTTTATAGATAATAAATTTATTTATTGATAAAGATTAAGCTGCAATTAGAAAGAATTTATTTATATTGAAATTATAATGATTGCTTGGTTATTGTGTCTTGAAGTGGTTCATTCTATCGTAATCATTTTAAGAAAAAAACAAATATTCATAATTACATAGTATATCTCATAATAATAATGAGGAAAATCATTTTACTATACATATAAAAAAGATATAAATGTATGCATAATGATGAGTAGGGTCAAATCTACAATGACTAATAGAGTTTAGTTGTTTTTTTTTTATCAAAATAATAAATCAATAAATAGAAAAAGTTTGGATGATTAGGTATTGAAACCAATGGAAACAAAGATTAAAAAACAAAAAAACAAATAAAATTGAAAAAGTTCAATAGAGAATTTGACCCAAATGGATATTTATAAATAAGAACTTAACAACCAAATGTAGAAACAAATGACTAGCCAAATGCAATATTAGGGAACCAAAATGAAAGGAACCTAATGTTCTATTATGACTAAAAAAAATGAACCATTGTCACTACACCATGACATCGTAAAAATAATACTAAAATGAATCACCATAATGATTGTATAAAGTACAAAAATAAAATCATTATCAAGTTTTTACAATTGTTACCAATGATGTGAAAATAATAAAACTCTTCAAATTTCCAAACTTCATTCCAATCACACATCTAAATTTTAAACCTTCATTAAATTTAGGATACTCAAGTTTTTTATTTTCTTCAAATTTTTTATTAGTGTTATTTGAAGAGCTAACCATTTCAAAATGGAAATTTTCATTTGTGCTTTCAATTGACTTCTTATCAAAACCTAAAGGAGACTTATACTAGATGTCCTTCACACTTTCATAATCATCTAAAGAATACTAATTTTCCATAGTTCTTTTGTGATCTTTTGCCTCATATGCATCCCTTACAACCTTCACATCCTCTTTATAAACATTTGCATCTTATCATTTGTCATCTTCTTCCCCATGCACATAATCCTTAGACATACATTTAGTACTAATGTCATTGTATAACAACATCAATATTATGCTCAAAATAGACATATCTCCTTACCAATAACTCGATTATGTTACATATGTCCAATATATGTCAGTGATACCCTCCAAATGATGCAACTTATTATACACTTCTCTCTTAGGCATGAGAAAGTACAAGTCTTGAAACTAGTTGTAACATTGTCGATACTGAGATCGTAACGGGACGACAAAAATAAAATAATAATATGAAGCGCAACTAATGTTATTTTTACAAAAATCATTAGGAAAAAAACACAAAATAGAAAGCAGTCTACAAAAATCATATTTTTTTTTAGTTCGGGAGTCGATTACATGAAAAAAAGGTATTAGCACCTTACAATGTTCGTCTTAAGACGATTACCATTATTAATTAAGCAAATTATTTATAACTTGTAAAACATTTATCTCACCCTAAATTAATCAACATTAACTATAAGGATCAAATGTATTTTATTTAACTAATGCATTTTTTTCTAAAAAAAATTAAAATTATTATTGTTATATAAAAAGGAACCTAATATTTGTTTTTCTTCTTCTTTTTTTTTTTTGCTCGACAAGATTTATTTCTTGATCCTACGTATCTCTATGTGTAATGGAGAATCAAAGTCACGTAGTTCTTTGTAAAAAAAACTATTTGTGTGTTGATATATTTCTAATTAATTTAATTTTTTTTTATTAAATTTAGGATTTTTGAACTGTCTCAGCTTATTCACCCTAAAATATAAAATTAACTGAAGTGTACACCAAGTCCAATTCAATAAAAGATTTGATTTTTTATTATAATTGTTGTTATCGATTTTATTATTACTATGGTATATACTTAAAAGAAATTTTTGGTTGGATAATCTTATTTTGGAGAAAAAAAAATTAAAGATTACAAGTTGTCACAACTTGTACTTTAAATTCAAAGATTTAAAAACATGTCACATCTAATTAACATTTCTCCCATAAAATCTCTTATATGATGACTCCAAATAATTTTATTAAAAATTATACCAATATAT